TATTTTACCCTTTGCTGCGGAGGGGCCATCGGCGCTCTACGATCAAGAATATTACTAATGTGTTCAACGGATCCGTTTTCAATGCTCCCACATCCAACTATATGGTCGAACTCCTCGGATCATAGGTGCTTTTCATTGTGCCTTCAAGTTGCATCTAGCAGTGAATGTTTGGAAAACAACATAAAATATAATTAAAGTTACTGCTTTGGAGGGTTTTGCGGCTTAAAAAAAATATCTGGCGAACCCACCTAACAAAGTATACCCACTGAACATATTCCAAAGAAGCAGAATCGTTCCTAAAATGATCAGCTCATCATTACCATGCCATGCTTCAGTTTTCTGCGACTGTCCGATTCGCTGAAGGGGAAAACTCAAAAACATTCCCACAGAAAACGTTGTGCGGTGAGGGAATGACCTCAAAAGTAAGGCTTTACTTGAAATCACCTTTCCTAACAAATAACGTCCACAATTTCAGCTTTCTTTACGTTTTCGTTCAACTGGGAAAGAAATTCTTGGAAAATGTATCCGCGAAAATGTAAGTCCTACGCCGAAAATTATGATTTTTCTTAATGTCTACATAATAACGGGAACCTATATAATAAAATCAGCTTGGACATCACTCAGTTTCTTCAGGGGAAAGACACTTCTTGAAATAATTACCACTCACAGAAAAATGTACCCTGCATCAATGAAATTGGAAAGTAAAAATGTTCTGTGGTTCAATATCACAAGAACTACAGGATCAACCACGTTTAAATTTGTATAATAGCAAGTCGCCATGGAGTAGAAATGATTTCATACAGATTTTCATCTTTTCGGGTCTGCAGGTTTCTCTCGGTGGCTTCATATGAAGGCATCGACCAGTGAACGAACTCATCTTTGGCCTTATTGGCTATGAGGACTTTTTCTAAATAACTTTTTTTTTTCAATTTCCTACAGCATTATTGTCATGCCAGTGATGATGATTATTCCCAATTGTTCCTCTCCAGGATAGACTCTCTCACGTCTCACACTGTCATCAGAGGGCGTGAATAGTGTGGATCCAAAGTTGCTTTTCACGAAAGAGCACATGGAGCCCACGGAAGGGAAATCCTGTCAAAATAAAATAAATTAAGTGATCATTCAACTCACCGGTACTCGTCTTACTATTGCAGTAGTCAGTGTAGAACTTCTCAAGGGTGAATCTCTCGAGTTGGAGGTTTCTCACGATCTGGACGGGGTCGACATCCTTCCACAGAAACACCAGGTCCTCGGTCGTCCATCCGTCTGGAATGGCAGAGCCATTCAACGAATGAATTTATTTTTGACAACCGTTTATTCTCTTTTTTTCCTTGGTAGATGTGGAGTTCAGTATATTACTTAGTGAAATACCAAGGCAGTACCATTTTAGGTCACCCAACCTCGTTTTGAATGGCTGGGAACCTAAATCGCTTTTTCCCCTTGGCTTGAAAAAACCTTCCCTTGAAACCCTGAAGGACGTTCACCGTGCTAAAAGAGAAACTACCGAGGAAGTATGGGTGTATTCCTCCTAGTCATTTTCAGTTTTTTAGTGCCTAAAGGTTCGATGTTGAAAGTGAACATGTTTTCCAAAATATCTGTGCGGTGAATGCTGAAGACAGACATCGTCTTCCTCACAGGGAATGTGCTACGTCGCAAATCCACATTCGAGAACTTTTTCCTCTAAATATTATTTGCATGATGACCTGTTTTATTCAAAAATAAGGCGTGCTTTTCAAGAATATCAGGTTTAGAGATACAGAACTCCAACCTCGTTCTGTCTCCTTTATGCCATCGATGCATGTAACTCAGTAACTCCATTTCTGGAGACTTTTGCATCTCCATATTCAGAAAAATTCTACGAACTCACTCGTGGAACGAAAGGATGAGGTAGCAAAAGTGGATGAGACCAAACGAATGCATATGGTGTCTACACGACCCACCTACCCGCACGCTCCAATAACCGAGTGGACACGAAGAGAGTGGAAAGGAAAGGAGATAGATCAGAGAAACTGCGTTGCGGCCATCCATTCATTTCCATTGAATTATTTCATTCATTCTCACTTCATTCACTTATTCGTTTCTACTTCATTCTTCTGATGTGGATAGAAAGGGAGTACAACTCACAGCTGGCGATCCGGATCTGGCACGATTGCCTGTCCATGGGGAAGAGCTTCATGCTCATCGGACAGCTCAAAGTCAGTGATACCCTGTCAAGTGGAAAAAAATGTACACAGACTGAAGTCATCCTCAATGGAAGACGAGGCTGATTTGCGGTAAAACGGTTGTTCTTCACATATTAAACTAAAAGCCCTTTTTCGCCCACGTGTGCCTAGGGCTGGACTGCTTCGATTGCTATTGTCTACATGCTTTTTGGACATGATATACATATGATATGTCTCGGTTATACTAAATGGTTAACGTCATTCTTTAGATAACCCAGTTCCCTGCCCAACAAAGTATTGTTTGCTTGAAAAAAGACAAACTTTTTCATATGAAACTCGTTCAAACCCTCCAAAGAAGCTCTATACTTTGATGATAGCCTGGCTGAGCTTTAAAATTTTTATTTGTATGATTTACTGAAGGTAATATATATTTAGAAATTTTCCTTCGTTTCGGTTCATCGAGTCACATTGAAATGAGCATCCAAATTTTTCTTCACCATTGTAATGGAGATTCCAACATGAGTAGAATAGATTTATAGAGCTGCTATACCGCCCCATTTTACTCCGTCAGTCTGACCCTGCCTTCCCCGCACCAGCAATGACTACGATTAAGCCACTGCCAAAAAAGTGAGTGAGTTATGCAACAAAGTATGGCTTCATATAATGGTTCACATTTTCACCTTCAACTAAAATAAATTTCGGACGCTTCCGAAGTTTCCATGTTACTTTGTTTCGCACGTCAAAACTCGAAACAAAATAGGTAAATTCTAAGTCTTCTTATGTTGCTCCAAGAGTGCTTACAAACTATCAATACTTTGCATAACGCAATACAAAATACAGTAAATATCTTATAGATACGCGATAGGGTTTGGCTAAAAGTGCGAGTTTCCCCTTTTGCACCACGCCCCATTCCGCCCCAAATTCCCCTATATGTCTTTAGATGATGATTCATTATGAGTGATTCATATTTTTTTATTGATTTGCGCGTATTTTCTTCTCTTTCCTGAGATTATGAGTGTGAAAAAATGTGATGTGACAACATTACTTTCGATACATTTGCGATTTATACGTAGAAGATCCGCGAAGATGGCTCTGCATGGTTTAACCTTGGCCGCCTATTTTCCAAGACACCAGGGTTTTAAGAAATCAATCCTTCCACGAAACGAAATTCACGGGGGATATGGGTTGACCCAATGAAGAACTCGAACTTCATTTGGAAGCCGAATGAACCTGCCATCTCACCTGGTGCTGTAGAGTATCTTTCCATCGGGGAAAATCCTCACTAAGACGTTCGGGACCATGATGTTGTGCGTCTTCCCTTCGATCTCGTTCTGGAAGAAGGTATCTGGCATCCACAGCGTACTCGGGTCCCTCAGGGACAGTTGCTTAAGTTTCCCTGCAACGCCCAACATAATTTTATGTTGATATTTGTGACTGTTGCTGGTGATTATTTGTACTGTGCCGATAATCCGCGTCATCCATCAAAATGAGCCATTACCTCCCAGGTCGTCGAATTTGAGCCTGTCGTCACTCCATTGCTGTCGGAAGGTCAGCTGCACCTTATATTGCTGCAAGAAGCACACAATATTCCTTTATTTCAGAAATTATCCAGGACGAACGAGCAAGATATTCCTCGTTGGATCGGATTTTGAGAGTTTCAATGTTTCATCTGCAAGTAAATGTTTACTGTAGTTCTTGGTTAGTTCTCAAGTTCTTCTCTGCAAAATTATGTCCAATGTTTGATCACCCCTCGATGATCTGGGTGCTACGATGAGGCATGACTCGACTTCTTCACGGGTAATTGCCGAAAAGGGTCCTCATTAACAATCAGTCATTTATTATTAGCCATTAGTCATCAGTCATTATCAGGCATCACACATCAAGCAACTTTCATTCATTAGCTATTAACCATTGGCCATCAGTAAATAACTCGTCTGTCAAGATTACAATGCTATTACCAACCTTCAACAAATAAACTGTTTATAGCATTAAATTCCTGCAAAAAGTAACTCACCATGCGTTTATCGTCCAATTCCTGAATACTTCTAATGAAGAAGTTGACGTATACAGTCGTTGGGCCATCTGTGGACANCCCCTTACGGAAATGTCCGATAGGAAACCTATAGACTTTCCTATAGGTTTTTGAAACACGAAAAACCTATAGGATCCTTTCGGATCCTATAATATCCCTATAGGGTCTCATAGGTCTCCTGACCTATAGGATTCAGGGAGGATATTTTGGGTTTCGAAACCCAGGCATTACAACGGAAAAGGCGACAGGGGTTAATATTGGCGCAGCATTTCGGTATAAATAAAAAACCGAATAGGGGTTTTTCCATGATAGGGACACATGCATTATTAATACCAGTACCGGGGGGGTCTGCATAATTTATGGCCCGGCCCCATATGTGTTGCTGGATTGCACGTGTACTTCCTTCGGTAGGAAGTGGTCGTATTCTTCTCTCGACCTAAGGAAGAACACGACAGACCCTGTCTCTTTACCGAAACTCCATTTGGATGGAGTCTACTTAGTTTCGTGCGTGGTTTTCAAAAGGAATAAGGGCATATTTCTTCACGAGACTCCATGATTCTATCTGGAAGATGGGGATGACAAATAAGGAATTGTCGAAGTTTATTGATTGATACAATGAGGCAAGGCGAGACATTAGCGGACGTACAAAACTCTCTTGTGAGAGGTGATTCCTTGGGTAAGGGGAGGACACTTTTGTGCCCTATGAGAAATGTGAGAACCCAATACTTCCATCTAGTGACCTAGAGGAGAACTTCAAACGGAACCCTATAGGCCTATAGGGTTCCGTATAGGCACTATAGGGAACCCTATATGTCTTATAGAGAATCCTATAGGTCCTATAGCGAATCCTACAGGTCCTATAGGGAACCCTATAGGTTTTATAGGGAACCTATAGGTCTTATNATAGGCCTATAGGGTTCCGTATAGGCACTATAGGGAACCCTATATGTCTTATAGAGAATCCTATAGGTCCTATAGCGAATCCTACAGGTCCTATAGGGAACCCTATAGGTTTTATAGGGAACCTATAGGTCTTATTGGTTCTATAGGGGATATATAGGTTCTATAGGGAACTCTATAGGTCCCAAACTGGACTCTATGGGGCATATAGGATCCCATAGGATTCCTTTAGGTTCCTATAGGAGTCCTATAGGGTTCCTATATATTCCTAAAGGAATATATAGGAATCCTGTAAGACATTTTCCTAAGGGTCATTATTGGACCGATGCAGTGATCCAATGTGCCCGACCGCACTTGAAGTTATCCTTCAGGCCACTAGATGGAGGAATAGGTCTCACTTTTCTCATAGTACACTGAAGTATTATTCCCTCTTTCCCTGTAATCGTCCTTCACAGGAGTGTTTAGTAGCTCGCTATATGTCTCGCCTAGTCTTATTATAGAAATCAATAAAGTCGGACAATTCATCATTTGTTATCCGCATATTCGAGACAGAATAATGGAGTACAGGAAATAATCAAGCTCATATTCCCTATGAGGGCCCCTACGAACGCCGTCTTCTTAGAGGTTTGGCAACAGCTCGCAATGAGTCCACTGCTTTCTCATGCCCCAACTGTCGGGTGCTTTGCCCCCGGCACCTAGAAGAACCTTTCTCAAGGCTTTCCTAACACCTATTCCTTTGTGTTTCCTATTACAATAACTCATCTTTCCTACTCTTGCGACTTCTTTCTGTTTCTTCCACCTCCATTCAACTCTTCTCCAAATTCTTGATCACTCCCTCCCCCTCAACTCGCTCACCCCTTGCTTTCCCTCACACACTCTTCTCATCCGCCCTGTTTCCCACGCTTCAGTCTCACGCACCTCTTGAGTCTGACTTCATTACTTTTTCATTCTGCCCCTTGTCAAGTCGTCTCTGCCTTTCTCTCATTCTCTATATCCTAACGTTATAATTTAGTCTTCCCTCTTGCCCTCAGGTTTTCCTGCATTCCTCTCATACACTCTCTCATTTCACTCAATACAGATTCCCTCCCTTCCCTCATCATTCCATCTCACATACTTCCGACTCTTGATTCTTCGTCTGACTCTTTCTGACACGTTTTGATCTTTTTCCTTCAAACTATCCCAATCCCACAAGGAATCACCGCTTTTAAGGCTGATCTCCTTCTCCTCACTTCTCTTTTTCTCCCTTTCTGTTTCCTTCGT